TATTTTCTCCTGAACTATGTGTGTTTGTGGCCTATCACAAATATTTGTCTAATCAACCTATCTTGCTATGGATTTTACTGCTCCATCCATATTAGAACATATAGTAGTATTTGGTGGCCAAACCTAACTAAACAAAGCGCAACAACCAAAGTAAACAACAAATAACAATGAATGTAAGTCTAAAAATAATGGTCCACCAAGGGACACAACCCCAGTCTCCAAGGTGGAAGTCTAAATGCGGACTTATGCCTCAACCTCCAAACATGGACTCTGTGGCATATTTTTTTTTATTTTTTTAAATTGGAAGCTAGTCTTAACTTTAAGAGTGAAAACACTTTTCTTTCAAAAAGTGATGCAAGTGCAGTTTAGCTGTACAGGAATGTAATCTTTGTGAGACAACGTTGTAAAAACTGGACTTCTATAACATTTCATGTTGCAGAGACAGCCAAGTACAGGCTTAAATCATTAGATCTGACAAATAACTAGACTTCAGACTATTAGATATAATCGTCAATGTTTTAAGTAGGATTATTTGTCTCTGTGTTCTGAGTGAATTAAGAGTCTTATGAAACTTAAAAGCACAGCTGACCAAGCCTTTAAAGCTGCTCAGCTGCATTAAAACCGGCAGAAAACATATGTCTTCGGGAAAAATTAAAATTGTCATAAGGCCGTTTTATTTTGAATGTTTAAAGATGAGTGCTGTGGTAACAGATATAACACATGTCTGTATTTCCAAGGTTTAAAGAAGTCTCTATAATGTCTTTCCTTTACCATTCCGCACTCCACGACCCTATTAGCAAATCACAAATTATGAGTCATGTACTCCTCCAATCAGCAGGAGCTGTGGATTCTTATTTCAGAAACACAGCTGTTTAGTTCTGAGATAGCCCGAGGGCAGGGTAGAAAACTCTTTTTTTTTTCCAGGAGACAGTAGATTAGTCTAACTTGGCTTTTTGCAATCAGCCCCAGACTGAACTGCCTTTCTAAGATGTTAGTCTAATGAATAATTTGAGATGTAAAAGGCCTATTCAAATTTCACGATGAAGGGTTTTGATTTTATCTCAAGAACTCATATCACAGAAACACTGATATTGAGGAACAGACATTTAACGAAAAGAAAATATGGATTTTCTGACATCAGATCCAGAGAACTCTTTTGATTAAACTTCCATCTCTTTTACACATTAACACACTTCAGCTTGTGACAGTGTGTGTGTGTGTGTGTGTGTGTGTGAGAGACTGACCAATCCTTCTTGTTAGTGTGATGCTCAGACAACAGAGATAAACAATGTTTAGAGAAAAGGTTATCTGGAAAGAGAAAGTCAGGTCAGACAAGACTGGAATTCTGTTTAGTGCTACTGCTTTTACAAAAATGACATTTTGTATATGTATAAACACTGTGTGAGAACGTGTGTAGCCTCATGACTGTTTGTATGACTTCATTTTGTGCCCGTTAAACTCGTGTCTTCCCATGTTTTCCTGCACTCGTGTGTCTTTTTAACCCTCTCATGCTGTAACATCACTCTGGGGGAACAGACTATAATTATAAATTCACAGTCATTAGAATTATACATTATTAATTTCTAATTATGCAGCATCTGACACAATGATAAATGTTTCACTATAAAAAGAATGTCCTCGTGTCTGCTGAAACAAAGGTGAATGTACACAAATGTCAATTCATTAAGAAAAAGTTGCTGCCCTAGACTCTTTTATTAACACGCTGGTGCTTGGAATACACCTCTGGCAGGAGCTCTGATTTTTTTTTTTTTTTTTACTTTCTTCTAAAATACAGTAGCACACTTTAACTGGGACAAAATTGGGTAAAAAAAAAAAAAAATCGTGTCATGTGCATCGGGTCTAAATTAAACTAGGACGCACTGTGACACTGCAGCCTCTCAGGTGGCAACCGTAGATTATTTTTACACCCACGGAGTCGTTTTCTGGAGTGCCAGGACAAATTCTCTTCTTCTCGCCCCTCCCTCAATCCCTCGTTTTTTTTTTTTCCTTCCACCTCCCTATCGTCTTTCTCTACCGCCCTCCTCAAACTATTTCATCATTTCTGCTCTCCCTCACCTCCATCTCTTGCACTCCTCTTCTCTTTTACTTATCGGTTAATGTCATCAAACCGAACGTGCTCCTTTTGTACACACCTCAACGTTAGCTCCCACACTTTCCCCAACCCTTCTCCCTCATCCCCTCTCTCCTCAATCCATCTTATAGTCAAGCACAATGCCCTATTCTCCGCTCTGCAACTTTTCCCCCTCATATTCAGCTTCTATTCATGCAATATGCCCTCCATCTTTATGTTGTTTTCCGTGCCTCCAGCTCTGTCAAAAGGTTAGCCTTTGCCTCCCACCATCTTACTCATTCTTTTTTCTATGTATACACACACAAAAACTTCTCTTATTCCCTCTATACCTGTTTCTGCCTCCTGCCTAACCTCAGTGCCTCCAACTCTTGCCGCTTTCTCCTGCTCTTTAACTATATCAAGCTCCACGTTGAGCCACACCCCTCAATGCCTCGTCCTTTGAGAAACCACAGTCGTGTTTAGCCAAATTAGGATGAATGTCGGATTTCTAAATCGAAAAAAAAATCAGTAGTCTTGCAAATGTCAGCTGGAAACGAAACCTATTAATTTGCTTTTGAAATACTGTTTAAAAAGAGAATTTTCTTTTAAACACTTGAATGCTATGTGATGCTCGAAGTGATACAATCAAAATCTTCAAAACATAAAGAATATGACCTCCAGTAGGACAAACTCCAGAGTAACATCCATCCATCCATTGTCTGTACACCACTTAATCCTCACTAGGGTCACGGGGGGCTGGAGTCTATCCCAGCTGACTTAGGGTGAAGGCAGGGGACACCCTGGACAGGTCACCAGTCTATCACAGGGCCACACTTAGAGACAGACAACCAAGCACACTCACATTCACACCTACGGACAATTTAGAATCACCAATTAACCTCAACATGTTTTTGGACTGTGGGAGGAAGCCGGAGAACCCGGAGAGAACCCACACTGCACGGGGAGAACATGCAAAAATCTATGCAGAAAGATTCCGGTGCCCCCACTGGGATGCGAACCGGCAACCTTCTTGCTGCGAGGCAACAGTGTTAACCACTGAGCCACCTTGCAGCTCCAGAGTAACACGTTAATTACAATTAGCTATGTGAGAAAAAAGAAGAACCTGGTTTATGTATGACGGCAGCAGCTTGCGACACAAAAATTGTCACCCTACAGCACAAATCTACATATCTACATGGCTACACGATAAGCTTTATCCACAGACAGGGACATTTCAGCTTTTAGGAGTGACTGCCATCGTAGCCAGATTGCTACAGTACATGCCGCATAATTGCAATACCCGCACCTCAATTCGATCTGGCAACATTTGTGGCCTGCTGTAACCTCTCTGTCTCATTTTCATTGTTTCCTCTCTGCCGCTTCACCTTCCACTGCGAAAAAAAAAATGTCCCCAAACAAGTCTATTTTCTATTGATCATTGGTGAAGTCTTTATACAAGCCTATATCTATGTTTCAGACAGTTTAATCAGACCGTTTCCTCTCTTTCCTAATGAAACCACCACCTCTGATCCCACTTTTCCAAGCTGTCCACCTTTCCTGTCTGTCCATCTGTAGCATTTCTTCATGGGAGAGTTTGAGCCAGAGCTGCTGTCTTCATGCTGTGTCCCACCCTACATTTTTAATTTTTCCTTATCATCCAGCTGCCACTGATACTCCATGTAGGTCAATAAAGAGGGCATGCAGTCACACAAACAACCGCTCTCTCCCTCTCTCTCTCTCTCTCTCGCACACACAAATAAATAAACGCACACTATCTGTGACGACAGCTGAAAATTATGTACGTAGCCCCGTGTCGAAATAAACACTGACACACGGATAGAGGTGCAATCACATACACTTAGCACAGCAGCACACTCAATAAACAGCCAATATTTGTTGCCTTTGTGCAGCGGTTTGTGGTCGTGTTTTACTGCGCTATATATAAAAAGGCTGGTGTGTACATTCATGCATGTGAATGGGACTGCAATACACTGCGGTTCAAAAAAAAAAAAAACACCACCACAGGCAAGTAACATGGAGCTGAGGACTCTATCGCTCCTCTCTCCTCTAACAGTCTAACAAGAACTCTGCTGCGACCAAACTAAATCCCGGGGAAAAGCTTGACAAAAGCCCTCCCTTGGTAAACTTAAACCCTGCTCGCACACTCACAAGCAAAGCACGCACTTGAGCACTCACACACATGCTCCCTACAGAGATTAATAAATCTCATCCAGATCGCACAGCTCTGATGGACTAGGTTGACAGAGGGGGTCTGGAGCCTGTCAAGGCAAGCAAAGCACTTTGGCCCTCTCTCATTCAATTTATCCCCACCTCTCGCGTTTTTTTTTTTTTTTTATCAATCTTTTTTGCTACTCTCTTCTTTATATCACCCTCTCCTTCACCCTCTCTGCCTTGCCCCATTGCTCTCTTTTTTTTTCTATTAGATCTCTTTATGATTCATTAGAAGCGGGTTTGGAAAAAAAAAAAAGGCAGTTAATTGTTCTGATAAGGGTAAAACCGAAGGAGACACACGGATCAAAGGAAGACTCAGTTTTATATTTTTGATCACAGACCGACTGCTGTGTCCTTTTAATTGAACTAGCGGGCTCAGTGTAATTGAAGGCTGTGTGAGTGCATGGCTTGATCTGCAGCTCAAAAAGCACAACAACAGAGCCCTGCAAAAGTACAACATGTGCATAAAATGAAGGCATAAACTGTATATGCTGTAACGTTTTAAGCTCCGGAGACACTGCATGTTTTTATTTTTTTTCATAATGTTAACACATTTTAAACGGCATTTCAGCATAATCACAACCTGTGACTTTTATGCTTGTACTGTGGCTGCTAGCGCTGAACATAAACACGAAATAAATTCAGGAGTGTGCAAATGAATAAAGCAACAAGCATAAAATAGTCTGCTTTAGGTTACCTTAAATGGAAGGGACTTCTCGCTGCAAGGGCTAATGGGTAGAGACTGGAGGCTGCTGGCAGGACTTGTCTCTGTGCTCTGCAAAAGATTCAAACATGAGGAGAAAAAACAACATCAAGACGAGGTTTGTAATATACATAACGCTGGTGATAAACCAGCTAAGTGCACAGCATAACTTTTACCAGAATATAATATTTCAATTTGTGACAAAAGTTTTAAAAATTATAGTTTATATCCTTGCAAATTTGTCGTGTCGTTAAGCAGTATTAGAAAGACGCTCCACATGGAAGTCGGTCTATGACTCATTCAATATAAAAACAGAGGTGTAATGAATTAAAGATAGCTGCTCATTTACACTGCAGCATCCTAAACCTTGGGAGCATTTTACACAGAATGTCTGAAAGGCAATATTAAAGCTTTACTATTGATTCAGGCCTCGAACCTCCTTTGGTTCACAAAAAGAAACAAGATGTAGGTGAGATGGTTCTATCAGTACAATACCATGTTCTAACTTGTATTTTTTTCCCCCACCTGGTTTCTTACATAATCTCTGTGTTTTCTAACATCATCTGTGATCAGACACATTTTGGCACTGCTCCTCGACACAGGTGTCTAGTGGGCAGATAGCAGGGGCAGATAGAGGAGGATCTACAATACACACACACACACACACACACACACACACCCCAACCTGCTGTCACACGCACGCAGACGAAACACGGTTCCTTAAAAAGAGCAGACGCTGGTCTAAATGTCACCTGCGAAGGCTTATGATAGGACAGATGGGAAAGCAGGAGAGGATAAAATCGTCTCCTCAGCCAGGGACTGCCGATACTGATATAATGCTGCATAGTAAAGACATGACAGCACACGTAAGGAGGATATGACAAGATACATGACAAAGAGGAAGTAAGAAAAGGGAAAAGGTAATGGGAAGCACGAGCTGAATACATGTTCTGCACGCTTTGATTTCCGATACGGGTCCATTTTTTGCCATACGCTGCCCTTTTTTTTCCAGATTTATATGCAAAACATCCCTCCGTTGTTTAGGCAAGACGATCATGCTCACAATCCTCCAAAAATGTGCTTTTCAGGCATTAGTCTAATTTCTATGTGCATATTTTTTGGCCTACTTTGGAGGGGGAAGTTCTGAGAAACATTAGAGCCCAAATCTTTGCACAGCATAAACTTGATGGTTTATTGGTTTGGCTGACCTTTTAAAGAAGCATACCTCCCTATCAGAATTATAGGTGTGCTATGGCGTCAGGCCCTCAATGTGTCATCGGTGATCAATGCCTTTCTCTATGTAGAGAGACAGGCACGCACTCACTGACACCCACACTCTCTCTCTCTCTCTGTCTGTCACACATACACATTCTCTTTAAGGTCACCCCTGTCCCACAGGCCTTAACACACAACTGTCCCCACAATTAGATGTGGTTCAGTAAAAAGCCTTTCAGATTTAAGAATTGGCTGCCGGGGAGCTGCGGATTTAATGACTTGCACTACACTGAAACTAAATGTCTACAGATGATGAATGGCCTAAGAAAGGAAAGCAGGTTTTGTCGTTTGATGCACACCTTTAATCACATCCACACATCAGTTAAATCAAGAAATGAAAACCCTCAAATAACTCCAGGCGCATTTACTCCCACCCGCTCATTGACATTTGACTTTTTATAGGAAGAGAGCACCGTTGGAAAATCCGCCATGCAATTTAGTGAGTTCTTCGGCGAGCACAGCGTAAGGGCTTTAAACTGAAAATACTCTGCTTGAGCATCCCCGCTTCTTCCTCAGGATGGTTCTCTGTTTCAGACACAGAATGTAGTCGTATGTGTCCACCCAGGCTTTTTGCTGGTGTTGACAGGTCACACACTAGCTAGCTGCTGTATGACAAGATTCTGTTTCTTTCTAAGAACTAATTTAACTGTGGCAATAAGGATGAATAGCACAACCTGAAATGTAATGAACAACAGCATTTTCAACACTGGGCTGCTGATATGATTTGGTGGAGGCACCATGAATAAGCCGCTGCCACAAGTCAAGCAGCTCCCTCAGGGGTTAGAGTCGGTCGGACTCGGGCCCGGCGGTGCATGTTTGGATACAGTACAACAATGCCCACAAAGGCTGTGAATATGTGCTGTAACAAATGGGGCATCGCAGTTTTGCTAGAATCCACGGCTGACATTGACAAATGGGGATCATTGTGTTAGGCAACATTAATGCACACATAGACAGCGGCATTTTAGAAGTGTTCCTCCATGCAACCAACAGGACAAACTGCTGAAAGAGAAATAATTCAAGCGAAGATTGAGTCTCCGTGACTGGCTAAAAAAAAAAAAAGCTAATTTGACAAATGTGATGCACAATAAACACAAGAAATTACAAGATGTATCATCTGGCTCGTGGTCATGCCTGACTGTGTAAGTATTGTTGTGTGATTTGTGAGGGACTCTGTCACTACTATTGAAGAGCAGCTGACATAATTTGGTACTTTTTATTGTTTTACTCACTCTTATAGGGGTTTAATGCACAGGGATGTGACACAGCATCTAGCACATGTATTTAAGCCAGAAAAAATATAGTTCTTTCATTTTATGTCTCGAATACAGTTATCCCTTTTGTAGATTAAAGCATGTAGTAACTGAGAACTGTGATGCTCCATCTCCTAACCAGTACAGCACTACAATTACTGTATTGTAGTGGGGATGTCCCCTAATCTTAAGATCTGGTTAGCCACAAACCTATACGCGAGTCTTTGTCTTGCAGAAATGTGAAATATTCTATGAAAACTACTGAGGTAATGCTGTCCTAGTTTACACCATCCTAATTAAACACGTTTGCTGCCCTGAGGTCGGTAAGCGTCATTGAAGTCTTTATCACGGTACTCCTTTACTCGCGAGAGCCCACCTCCTCGGGTCGCTACAGTATTAGACAGTAAGAGGCTCCACCTGGTGGTGAAACCAGGTACCACAGCTAATCTACAATACTTGGTGTATACATTATCTAGGAGAACGACATCAGTGATCAGCAGATACTAAACATTAAAAGACTTGGATGTGAAGGGGGAAAACAAACATGATTGGAACAGCTTAAATTTGTGCAAAACCTGAATATAACACAAAGACAATATGCAGTGATTATGTAAATGTTTATGCAAATTATGTTAATATGCAATTTAATTTGAGATAATGAAGTACTGGACTTTTAGATTTTTAGGAGAGGAGAGGAGAGGAGAGGAGAGGAGAGGAGAGGAGAAGACAAACTGCCCATTCTTTACTTTGGGACAGTATTATTAGCCAACACTACAAATTTCTATTGAAAAAACAAAAATAAGAGGAGAAGTTAAGGGCTATAAGTTAAGGTAAACAAGGTAAACAAAAAAACAATAGAAGAGAAGATTGGAGCTCAATAGCAGAAGGTCAAGTAAATAAAATGCAAAGAAAACAGATATGCCTAGTCACCCTTCCCTTGCTGCAGAATGGATTATATCTGCTGATGGAAGGTAACAAAATTTGCAAGTTAATGACACAACAGAGCAAGCAAAGAGGGCAAAGTATCTCCTCTTTCATATTCATGTTCTGCTGCCGTGTACCCTCTCTCTCTCTCTCTCTCCCTCCCTCTCTCTCTCTCTCTCTTGCACTCCCTTTAGTTTATGTCTCTCTCTACAAATTATTATTTCATCATTTTCACGTCTCATGTCTCTCTCGCAGTGGCCCTGGGAGAAAAACAGAGAGATGAACAGTAAAGAGATCAGGAGAAAGCCGTACATATCCCTCTGCAGACTGTAATTCACAGCTAGCTTTGATCTTAGTTTAGAGATACTAATGGTGGGGTTTTAGGGAAGGTCTGGTCACCCTTTTATATCTTTTTTTTTTTTGTGTGTATTTGTATTTCTGAGTATGGTTCTGTGTAATACTTCTGTATTTGGTGAGGGTCAGTCACCCATGTAGATTACAAAAAGCAGCAGCCAGACACAGCTAATGGATGCTCTTTCAGCTCAACTTCCGAAGCTTATGGCAATGCTAACATCCCTCCTTGGTATGTAGATGTATTATACACTTTTGACATGTCAGCAAAGTGTATTAATGAAAATATTACCACATTCATATCGAGACAAAACATACAGCTTATGTACTAAACACCAGTTGAATCTCCTACTGAAGCTGCACTTATCAAACCTCAAAAAACAATCACTAGGCCTCAGTCACTGGTTCGGACTGTCATGTAAAATTGAAATTGCAGCTGTCATCCAATGGTGTATTATCGTCTATTTGTCTCATTTCTAACTCTACACAAATTGCAATTACCTCAACAAAGCATGTAAATCACATTGGCAACAACTTCATGTTCTTCAAAAAGAAATTCCACATATGATAAAAATCTACAAGCTTTACAAGTTTAAAAGCAAGAATGCTATTATATTCTTTTTAAACTCTGGTGTGGAGCAGTCTGACAGCTGAAAAGGCTGCATGACTGCAGAGGGTTGAAGTCAATACGATTATCTGGTTTACATAAGTCACCCCTGTGCGGCTACTGCAGCGTGTCATGGCTTTACTAAGTGACCATTACAGCTAATCACGTCTATAATAGCGTGGATGTAATTTTACTGAGATGGCCTCATAACCTGGGGTAAAACTTTAGCTTTAAGCAGACTAAACCATTTAAAGAGCAGAGTTACAGTCTGAAACAGGAGGATTAATGTGCGCGCTGTGAGTGTATTTGTGTATATATAAAGAATGTGATGGCAGACACTCAAATAAGCCTCCCAGTTTCCTCCTCCAAATGTAGAAGCTGATTAAATTGACAAAACAAAGTGATTAAAGAGACCTTTTAAAAGCAGAAAGGCAACCTCTTTGACAAGATTTCATGGAGCTGAAATAAAGCTGATTAAAACAGAGAGTAAAAAAATCTGTGAGTGCAGAGCTGTGCACAGTGATTTTAAATGAAACTGCTGCATATTAATTGCTAACCCATTACCCTTACCAGTTCAGAAAAGATGAAGTATTTATGACTTGATGAGAGAAATGCAGTCAATGCGGTGTAACTTATGTGCGAGGTCACAATCACGACAGAGGTTGTATAACGTGATGTCATCTTAATGTTTTTATTTGGTTGTCTGCACATAAGTCCTTGTCAAGCGGCGTCTACATGTTTGTGGCTGCATGCTATGTGAGTACTCTACCTCCTGCAGTGTCCGTCTCAGTCTTAACAGCAGGGTTTTGACAGCAGTGCAGTCCTGCTGCATCAGTCTGAGTGGAAGGGCCTCGAGCCCCGGAGGTAAGGGGTCATCTTCCCTCCCTAAAACCAGCCCTGCGCTCCAGTCGGCGGGCAGCAGGCTGGTCGGACGGTTGGGTTCCCTGGAGGAGAGGTGGAGAGAAGGGAAAAACAGAGACATAAAGAAATTTATTGTTAGTGTGAGTCTAACCTTGACCTGTCTTCACTGCTACCCACTGCTCTCCACTAGGAGGATCTCTTTGGTGGGTATTGATGATGTACATGACACATTACATGCTAATGTGAAGATAACAGCTGCTTCTGAATATCCCAGTAATTCCCAGAATTCTGTGACATATCATGTGTGACCAACAACACTGCACAAACATGGCTGGAACAATAACTTGGCAGCGTGCGGAACAACAACACGTGCCAATTAGATGCAATGCAGCAAACTATAGCTTCCACAGAGCAATAAAAATCTGCTCGTATAATACTGAGAACAGGCCACATCTGTTATTCACAATTTTTCAAGATTTCTTAGGAGATTTTGAAACTTTCTGTCTTTAGGATTCCCATTAAGAGAATCAAAAAAAAATACACTGCTGAAAAGTGAAACGCATGCCCCTAAATTCTACACTAAGCAGCTTTAAATAATACATAGTGAGAAGAGAAACAAGACAGAAAGAGAAATAGAGAAACAGAAGAGAGATCCCTACACAGAGGGAAATTAGACAGGGCAACAAAAGTCACGGTGGAGATCAAGACCCACAACAGTCACGATGCAAAGCAGATGCACCACAGGACTCCCTGAGGACTTTGTTTTAATGAGCACTCATTTCTATAACAAGTCTGTTTTAAGATAGTTTAAAACCAACAATATAAGGTGATAATGTACTCCCACATGAACAAAAGTCTATCTGCTAATCTCACTATCATTACCATCCCGAAAAGGATATCTTATTGCCAAGAGATTTAATATATGCCCACAATTATTATGGAGGAGAACCTTTATGTTTGTGCATGATTGTGACTGTGGTGCATGTAGGAGGTTTCTCATTTGGAGCAGTGCGTATAACAAAGTCTTCTATGTTAAACGGAGGCCGACTCGCTGGCCGCTTGACAAATCGAGGAAATGAAACCTTTCCAAAAAAAAAAGAAAAGTTCACGAGTCACTATTTAAGGTCTGATTACCAACAAGCCTCCAAAACAGCGTCGGCCCGTACACAGCTGTGACACTTTTGTGGGGGTGTAAGGTTGGACACACATTAACAGAAACAACTGTGGGAGATCAACCAAAGCACTGTTTTAATTAACTGTCCCATTTGGGAACACAGTCCATTAAACAGTAAACAGGCTTCTGGAGCAGTATGTCTTTAGTCTCCGGTGCGTGGCCTCTGTTCCCCGTCTGACCTTCAACGCCTTCGATATTAAGTACAAATGAGGACAACTCTGAGACGGAACTTTCAGCAGGAGTCAGAGATGCTCAATGTCACAGCGTTCCTCGTATTTCTTTGCCTTCCAGCCGGCACTAAAGCTCAATCCAAGTACCACAACTACAAACACTGACCTTATCTATAAAAACTATATCTTCATAGTCATTCATTGCTCGGAGCCCACTTATTCTGTCAGTTTGAAAGTTTCAACAGAGGCATATTTTTAACTTCAGCTTATGATGTAAGACTGCTTTATATTCTACCGCACATTAAATAGTCTCAAAATAAAGATCAAGCCCTCTTTCTGTTATGTAGCTTTAACTGTTTCAAAAGAATTATGTGACTAATGTTTTTAATTTGGTTTGTTGCATCCTGCCTGGCCACTCACACATACAAAATGTCAAATACATTAGAAAAAAACAAATGCAGAAGCTTACTTCATGATCGTTATGCATAGCTAATGCCCAAATGCTGGATGTGTGTGTAGCTGGTGTTGTGGTTCATAATTCTAACGGTTATTATAAATGATTAAATGAAAGTATAAGATACATTCTAAAAAGCCATTTTCCCTTTTCTACGTTCTCATTTTAAAATTAACATTTAGCCGAGGTTAATAGCTGTTCATGGGAACGTTTAGCACTCGTTTCACACAGTGGTAATTATACGGGAACACTTTCAACCCACTGGAACACAAGCTACGTTCATGGGCACAAATACTGTAATCTAAGTTACTTAGGGGGACCAGGTATTCATTTAGTAATGGATTAAAAATTACAAAAACTAATTGAGACAGCGGTTATAGTACAACGTGAGATAAGGAATTTAAAAGAACAAAGTAAAAATATTCCCAATCTTTAAATTAAATACATGGAATACGTCTTTATGCACTGATTTCTGTGGAGATTTTTCAAAACAGAAGATCCAAGAAAAGCTTGTTCAATCTTTAGCCTACATGTGTTCTAAAGGAGTATTTACAATGAACTATCCTGTACCACGAATATAAGTATGCACAACTTAACTTTTTAGTTTTGCCACTTTAATTCTAATTTAGTCGTAAATCCTTTGTGCAAATGATCTAACTGAGCACCACAATACAAAATGAAATACAGACTGATGATGCCTCTGGTGCAATTAGAGCAGTTGTTGAATATTGACTTAAATAATGTTGTTAATGTATTACTGTGAATATATGCTTTTAAAAATCTTGGGCCATAATCATGACATTTTCCCTTGAATAAGTGAGTAAACTATGCAGAAATTAATGGTTATGGGCAGTTCATTCATTTCAGATAGTCAAAGAAAGCTGCCCTGAGGAAAATGGGGAAAAAAAATAAATTAATGAAAAGATGAATCAAATGTGTTTCAATAAACTGAATTCCTACATTATAAATGTCTCTGCCAAGTAGTGATATTTTGACAGAAGTGCATAAAGGGGGACTGTGTATCTCACCTTCTTTATGACATTTTCAAAAGGTGAGCTGGAGAAATACCACCCTCCTGTCTGAAAACCACACAGACAACCTCCCGAGTTCACAGTCTGCATAACAAGAAACGGAGGAGAGGGAGCGACGGCAGTAAAGAAGAGGCGCACGTACGACGCGGGGAACGAGGAGCTCTTTATCATCAAAAGACCATGTTCACTTTGACTGATAGCCATTTAGAGCGAGGTGAGAGGAAATTAGATGCCTTCCGTGCCATTGTCCCAGAAAAAATCACCCAGTAAACAGTGGTGGGGGAGTATTAAGTCGGACAGCGAATTCTCCCGGAAAACATTTTTTGAGCAAAACAAGACAATATCAGTAAAATATCGATCAACGCGAGCCATTCCGGAGAGGACTCCCCTGAAAAGGTCGGACTGAATTGCACTTCCTCTTCGCTGGTTCAGCCGTCCCACGCCTCTCTCTCTGCTTTTCCCCATCATTTATTCACCTTCTTCCCTCACCCCTTTATCTGTCTTTTTCTATTCATCAGTCTTCAAACCCTAACCACGCTCCCCCTACTTCTCTTTGTTCGCCTGCCCTTCCCTTCTCCACCTCCACCTCCACCCTACCCTCCGCCTGAGCACTTGTCTTCCACCCCTCCAGCTCTCCCCTTGCCCCTTCCTCCTTTATTCCCCCCACCCGCCCCCATCACTCTGACACCCACTACACTAAACTGAGGCAGTATCAAAGCCGAAGGTGTCCCCCTGGGGATTCTGCTGAGCACCTCAGACAAATGTCGAGGAAGCCTGCTGTCTTTTGAGGACAGGTGAGCGCTGTCTGTCAAGCAGCCCGGGGTGCTTTTTTTTCCCCCCTTCTTAAACTGTATTGTTTGTAGCTTTTTGTTCCTGCCTGGCATCTCTGGATAGAGCGAACTTTCTCCATTTAGTTCTCTCTTGCCCCACCCTGCTATTCAGGCGGGGTGAATTGAGCATAAATAAATGACAAATGATCAATCAGGCAGTCTTCTCTCCGAGCGCCGTGTCAAATGGCGCAGTGCGGTGCCAAAATGTTTTGGTTTTTTTTTCTTCACAAGGTTGTTTTGTTTTTGTTTTTCCTACATCTGTGTGTTTCTCTGAGCCTGACACTTTTGCCCTTTCTATAGCTTTCACCAGGGTTTCAGGTTGGGATTCTTCTTTTACCTCCGTGGCGCACATCAAATCCGCAGAGCGACAGAGAAATGAGTGGGAGAGGGGTTCAAACGATGCTTGGCTCACCCAAAACAATAATCATAGAGGTGCCTGTATGCAAGGTATTCACTCTTTCAGGGGACTAGAAGTTGAATATTTCTGGTTAAACTGAGCAGCTGAGGGACGTACTCTAAAGATATTTCACCGTGGGCAACGTTTTTTCTTTTAAAAAATGATGGAAATATCACTCATTCCTGGATCCACTGTCAGGCTGTCTGTAGCGGTAAAAAGACATCATATGATGGCTTGATTTTGTTTCTATTCCACAACAGTATCTCGTATTATTTATCCATCTGTGAGTAATTTCTAATCACATTTGACTACAGGAGAACCAGGCTGAAGTCTTGTCTTATTCTGCACCAGAAATCAGTTTTTACTTGAACAATATTCATATATGACCATAACATAAACTTTATAAGGTTATTTTAGGACCTGAGTGAAGGTGTTGTTATATCAAGCATTTCTGAAAGGAAATGAGGGTAAAACATTCATAGGGTATCTGGCAATAGGCCATTTCTGACCACAGATAGTGTCTTAAGTGTTTACATATGTGCGGCATTACATCTTCCTTTACAGCAGAATAACATGAACAATACACATGCTGAACCCTGGCATCAAAGACAAAGGAACAAAAAAATCAGAGGTCCTAGGGTTTGCTTTAATGATAGCACTGGCAAACACTGTCAAGTTGCTTGTGCATGTGTGCGCTTGCATTACTTACGTTGTGGGGACATAAATCTGTTTGCACAGACACAGTGTGGGGGCTCATCTCCATTTCAAGTACAAACAACAAGTCTGCATAATGTAAATCATTAAATTTTAGGTTGAAGACTTTTTTTTTCCTGTTTGCTTTAGCAGAGCTTTCCATAAGCGCCTGCTGCGAGGCAAACAGCTGACTACCCACTTAAGCCCAGCCGGCTTCTTTATTCTAAGAATTTTTTGATTCTAATTAAAAAGTTTTGATTAGGAAGTTGCGATTTGCTATGCGTGTACATTTTATGACCGCTAGCCTCCGCTTCAAACCGCTGTGAGCACGGTG